GCATAGAATAGAATAGAATAGAATAGAATAGAATAGAATAGAATAGAATAGAATAGAAAGGGGTGGAGTGGAGTGGAGTGGAGTGGAGTGGAGTAGAGTAGAGTAGAGTAGAGTAGAAAGGGATGGGATGAGATGGAATGGATGGAACAGAACAGAACAGAACAGAACAGAATAGAATAGAATAGAATAGAACAGAATAGACAATGGGAATGGGAATAGAATAGAAAAACAAAAAAAAATACTACCAACCTGCCTTCCATTGAGGACCTGCATGAATCAAAAAGAGGGCCGTGAAAAATATTTACAGACCCCTCACATCCCAGACATAAACTGTTTCAACTCCTTCCCTCAAAAGGACGCTATAGAGCACTGCACACCAAAACAACTAGACACAAGGACAGTTTTTTTCCCAAACGCCATCACTCTGCTAAACAAATAATTCCCTCAACACTGTCCAACTATTTACTAAGTCTGCACTACTATTACTATATACAGGTCGTCAATTGAAGGCAGGTTGGTAGCAATTGTTTTTTGTTGTTGTTCTAATTATCCTTTGAAGTCACGTTTTTTCTGTCCCATTGTAACGTTGAATGGTTACTAAACAAACATTTCTAAGACAGTGTCTACTGGATGTGAAAGGGTTCAATTGAATGATACAATTGTTAACAAGAAAACTATGAATCTTCCCCCCCCCTTAATTTTATTTCTAATTTCAAAAAAGTAAAAGGGAAAAATTGACTATTTAATTCCTGGTTACTGATACTGACCTCATTTTTAAACATCTTCACATTCATTTCAATCAGCAAAGGGTGCTATTGTGTTGTTCCTAAGCTTTACATGTGTCGTTGGTTCCTTTTCGGCAGAGGTTGTGCTAACAGGCTCGGGTACCACGCAGATAACTTCGGTGATCAGCGCCGTTTCCTTTGAAAATGTGGACAATTACTACAAACCTGGACTTCCTCTCTCTGGGGAGGTAAGGCAAACTGGTTGATGACCACCCTGGTTAAATATTTTATTTGAACCATGTATTGAATCAGTGGTTGAGTAGGACTGTCCAAGAAGCCCTTCCTATTCTTTGGATGCAACCCACTCTTAAGTCTCAGAGACGGGTGGGATTCGACCGGTTCAGACCGGTTTGGGTGAACTGGATGTTAAATTTGCATCTGGTTTGACGAAATGGTATTTGAACCAACCGGCTGGCTCCGCCCACCCCTCCCCACTGCACGCGACTCATTTCAGTCCGCGCGGAGTCTCTGGGAGGGGGGAAAACGGGCCTTCCGGAAGTACCGGAAGTCTGGAAACGGGCCTATTTCTGCCTTCCGGAAGGCCTCCAGAGTCCAGGGAGGCCATTTTCGCCCTCCCAGAGACCCGAGGGAAGCTTCCAGACCCTCGGGAAGGTGAAAAACGGCCGTCCTGGAAGTTCCGGTAGGCCAGCCTCACCATGGCCACGCCCACCCAGCAACTGGGTAGCGAACTGGTTGCTGGGATTTATTTATTTTTTTGTAAATTTTATTGGTTTTTAAAAACAAACATAAACAAAACATAAAAACATAAAAATCTCTTCCATAAGTGTACAAACAGTGTGCCGGTTGGTTTACCAATTATTTTGTGCCTCCATTTCGTAGTCTTCAATTACAGTTACATTACATAAAAGCTCATATTATCAATCAAAGATTAAATACCCTAGTATGATTATTAATCAATCGTTTGACTATAGTTTTATTCATTCATATTTTACGAGATAACCATAATTTACTTAATTTATTTTATAACAGTTCATATTATCATCCCAAATCTATCCTAAAAACATTTTGTAGCTATAATAAAAAAGAAGTACATCTTTATATATTTATTATTTTCTAAAAATCTACATGTTTCATTACTGTATTTTATTATCTAACCATTGATAGAAAAGGTCCCAAATTTTATAAAATTGTTTATCCTCTTGCTCTCTGATTTCAAATGTCAATCTACTCATTTCAGCACATTCCAATATTTTCTTAATGATTTCCTCCTGCAATGGTATTTTCTCATTTTTCCAGTTTTTAGCAAATACAATCCTAGCCGCTGTTAATACATTTACAATCAGATATTTCAAATCTTTACTATATGTTTCAGGTAAAATTCCCAATAAAAATATCTCTGGTTTCAAGTCTATATGCTTTTTTGTCATTTTTTCCAACCACGTGTGGATTTTAGTCCAGTATTTTTTAGAGGTTGGTGGGATTTTTGAATCCTACTTCTGCTTAGAGATATTGCTCCTGAAGGTCCTTTTTCAAGAGGCAACTGGACTTTCCTTGTTTTTCTTCTCATCCCAAAAGCTTCTTCAGCTCTGAATGGATGAGGGGGGTGAATGGAAGGATTTATGACCAGCTGTCTGCGAGGAATATAAATCCTTCCATTCCCCACCATCCAGTCAGAACTGAAGAAGCTTCTTGGATGAGAAGTGAAACGTCTTCGAAGTAAAACAAGAAAGTCCAATTGACCCTTGAGGAAAAAAAAAAAGGCTCGTTGGGACTTAGATGAGTGGTTCCTCTTTCCCTCTGACCCAACTCCTGTTCACACAGCTACCCTGTGTGAAGGGTACCCTGATTGAAGTACGCTAGACTTCAATCTAGCACAGCAATTGGATCCGTTCCTAAGCCTGTGTTTGCTTTGTAACTTTAGCTTAAGCTTGAGGATGGCAGAAGAAATCCAATATCCAACAAGACCATTAAGCTTCGAATATCAGGAGTACAGAACAGTTCCTACTTCACGACGGATGATGAGGGAAAAGCCCACTTTTCCATAGAGACTTCCGGCTTCACAGGAGATAGCCTGCAGCTCACTGTGAGTATTCTTAGTGATGGAGTTGTTAACCGTAAATCACGGCAAGGTTCTTAGCTTGGTGTGTCCTTTGCCAAATAGGATCCGAGGTAGAAAGGTACTTTTTACTTACGAATAAGATGGGGTGCAATGGCTGAGTGGTTGAAGACTCTGAGCTTGTCAGGGTTTGAGATCCGAGTCCTGCGTTATGGCATGAGCTCCTGTTACTTGCTCCAGCTCCTGCAAAATGAGAGCAGATAAATAGGTACCATTTTGGTGAGAAGGTAACGGCGTACCATGTGGCTTTACATATAGTCCCACTGGCCACATGACTATGGAAATGTCTTCGGAGAATTCTGGCTCTCTTGGCTAAGAAACGGACATAAACACTGTCCCGTAGAATTGGACACAAGGGAACGAGGGAAAGCTTTACCTTATCAGAATTCCACTTTTACATTTTGTGATTTTTCTCCAGTTCCTTTTCTCCTATTCTGCTTCTGCCACATCCACTATCCAGACATTTTTTGTCTTTCTTATCGACAGTTGGTAAATCTGGGCTTTTATGTGGCAGGTGCTCGGCTTGGGGGCCTCTCAGGCATCCTGCCATAAAATGAAGACAATACACATTTTAACAGCGGCCAGATTAGCCTTCGCCCAATGTTGGAAGCAGCCTCAGGTTCCATCAGAGGAAACGATCATTCAAAAAATCTCAAGTTGTGCAGAAATGGAAGAACTAACTTTGGCACTAAAAAACAAAGACACTTCAATATACTACAATAGCTGGAACTGCTGGTACAAATGGATTGACCAAAGATAGATTTTGCATTAGAAGGCAAAAGAGGATAGGATAAACCTATAGCAGTGATATAGAGATATATGTAAAGATTAGGTGTGTGTATATGGCATAAATTAAGAGTTATGGAGAGAAAAGAGAGATCTTACAAACTGTTGAAGATGAGAAGGTTTTTAATTGCTTTCTATCTTTTCTTTCTATTTTCTTCTCTTTCTTTCTTTTCTTTTCTTTCATTTCTGTATGTGTTGTTGGTTGGTTTTAATTGTAAAATTAATAAAATTTATTTATTAAAAAAAAAGAAGTGGGGGGGGGGGGAGGGAGGGGGGAAGGGGGAAGAAGGGGAAAGGATGAAAGGGCAACAAAGCTTTGTGCGTATGTGATAGGAAATCAGGAGGCGGGAAATGACAGGTGAGAAGGACCAGATCCAGGGGTGGGTTTCTGTGGGGTTCGCAGGGGTTCGGGAGATCCTCTAGCTAAGATTCTGTGCAGTTTGGAGAACCTCCAAATCCCACTCCTGGCTGGCCCTGCTCACCCCGCCCACCCTTTCCCAGGAGTCCCCACATGGGGGGGGGGCACATAAGTGCAGGGCGCGGAGGCCCAGGGAGGGTGAAAAACAGCCCTCCCAGAAGTTCAGGAAGGCCGGAAATGGGCCCTTTTTCAGCTTCCAAAGAGCCTCCGGAGCCTGGGGAGGCCGTTTTCACACTCCCGGAGGCTCGAGAAAAGTCTAAGGAGCCCGGGGACGACAAAAACGTTCCCCTCCCCTGCTGTGGTCTAGGAGGCCGACTACCCCGTGACCGGGAAGGGAACCCATTGTTAAAATTTTTGAAGCCCACCCCTGACTGGAGATCCTGTTTATACCAGCATCCCATGGCCAGGCACCCTGAGAAATATGCGGATTACACCCGCCCCCCCAAAAACACCTCAGAGTTCTCAAAACATCTTGCCGAGGTCTCGCTTGGCTGGAAACGGACTGGTAACGGCGGGTTGTGTGTGTGAGGGGTGTTGAGGTAATTCCCCATTAGGAGAATGAGCGCATACAGGGAGACGTATTTGAGAGGAGTGTTTGAATAATACACACACAGCACACAGATACACTGTACAGTAAATGTAGGTTTTTTACTTCCAGAAACGTTAAGCAAAGTCCAAAATAAGCAATCCAAAGTCATTCACAGGTAAAATCAGTCAGTTTTCAATCCAGGGATAATCCAAATATCAAATTCCAGTATCAAAAACAGTTCAGTATCAGACTTACATTAAATCCAGTAGAAGAAATGGAGCAACGCCAATACTTTCCAACAGAAGGAAACAGAGACTGACTCACACTCTTCTGAGAGACTAAGACAAGTTTCTGGCTCCATCTTATGGCTGTTTGAAAAACCACACCCAATTGCAGTTTTTGCAATCTCTTAAAGACATAATACTAAAATGTTTATCCTGGTTTATGTATTTCTAACCCAAATACCTGTTAGGTGACTTATATTCGTAACAAGGGGGAAGGGAATGGCTGGGGGCAAACTTACACCTTATTTTTGTATCTAGCGAGCGCGGGAGATTTCAGAGCTGGCTTGACTTTGCTGCAGCCAACATCCTTAGTAAAAGAACCCTTTGCTTTAACCAAATGGAGTTGAAGGCTTTTCTTTCCCAACGGATCGGATTGGGGCAGGTCTGACAGTTTGTCTGGCTGAATTCTAAAAAGTCTCAGAGCACTTTCGCTTCTTCCTTTCCTATGACTTTGTCTCTTTTCTAGATCCTGCCCGTTTTTGCTCTTGCAGATCTTCCAATGCACCACGGTTGCCACTTTGTCATGCTTGTAGTCAGTCTGGATCTGCAGCAGCTAGCGAGGTGGTTCACGGTTTCTTCAGCTCCTTTGCAGAATTGACATCTGCTGTGTGTTAAATGCCAATGGAGATTGTCAATCGTACAGTTCATGGTTGTGTCAGATCCCTAAAATGATACTGCCATTCAACTAGGGAAAGCGGGAGGGGAGTATATTTCTTTATTCCTACTTCTGACAACTGTTGTTTTATAACCTTTATCCTGGTGCCTAAGCACCCTGAGGTTTTCTCACCTTTTGGGGAATGTATAAGTGGGGAGGACCATGTGGGTTGTTTCACTCTGAAAGCAGGCAGAAGATGACCCTGGGAATGCCTGTGTCAGGGCTCCAGTAGTCACCTCCATTTAAATTATGAGTCTCTAGCTGGTTCTTTCAGACAGCTTACAGAACACAAGGCTTGCATCGCTCGCATTGCGAACAACACAAGGTAATGTGGAAGGGGGGGGAACTTGCCCCATGCACCTCACTTGGCCACCGGGCTGTTTCTTTCCGCTTCTTTCTTCTTCTGCTTTTGGCTGCACCCAAGGAAAGCAGCAAAGGTCTTTCTTTCCCTCCCCCAAACTCCACCAGAGATGAGCCTTTGGGACCCTGCAAGGCCTCCTGCTCCAAGGGGCTGTGCCATTCTGGCGGAGTTTGGGGGAGAGAAAGAAAGGTTTCTGCTGCTTCTGCTGCTTTCCTTGCATGAAGCCAAAAGTCTCTCTCTCTCTCCCCCTGAGAACGGAGCTGGAGACGGTATCCTGTGATCCCAAATAAAGAATGATCGATCGGTAGGAAAACAGAGTGGGGAATTTTCCTGCAGACTTTTTGGGGGATTTTTCCCAGAGTCTCTGGTCCGCGAGATTTAAAATTATGAGTTTGGGGTCCCCAAGGTCGAAAAGGTTGGCGACCCCTGCTCTATAGCATCATTTTGAGGGTAAGAGTTGAAGCAGTTTATGTCCAGGATGTGAGGGGTCTGTAAATATTTTCACAGCCCTCTTTTTGATTTGTGCAGTATACAGGTCCTCCATGGAAGGCAGGTTGGTGGCAATTTTTTTTTCTGCAGTCCTAATTACTCTCTGAAGTCTGTGCCTGTCCTGTTGGGTTGCAGAACCAGTTCCTCTGTAGAATATTCCCCCGATGCGTTTTTTCCTTCAACTGTCCAGTGTATATGATGATGACAATGATGATAATTGGTATCCTTCCTATTCTTTGCCAGGCAACTTATGGAGAACTAGCGCAATGTTATGATTCATACTGGATCTCCCCTGATCAACACTCTGCCTACACCACAGTATCACGTTTCCATTCTCCAAGTCAAAGCTACCTTAACATTCAAACGCTTCCTGGCAAACTAAAATGCGGGCAACATGCGGTGATCCCGGTCCATTACATTCTCAATTCAGAGGTCATAAAGGACAAAGAAGTTTCCTTTCACTACTTGGTAAGTAGGAACAAAGTGGCCTTTATTTCACTCACAAGGGCCGAAGGAGGAAGAGGAATGGAGGGGAGGGAGTATCTAAGGAGTAAAGGTGTAGTACAAGAGACATGCGGAGCAGTAGTGAGATTCAATTTTTCTTTTTTACCACTGGTTCTGTTGGCGTGGCTTGGTTATTTAAGCACTATAAAAAAGATGTTGAGACTCTAGAAAAAGTACAGAGAAAAGCAACCAGGATGATTAGGGGACTGGAGACTAAAACATATGAAGAACGGTCACAGGAACTGGGCATGGCTAGTCTAGTGAAGAGAAGGACCAGGGGAGACATGACAGCGGTCTTCCAATATTTGAGGGGGCTGCCACAGAGAGGAAGGGGGTCAAGCTATTTTCTAAAGCACCCAAAGGCCAGAGAAGGAATAATGGATGGAAACTGAACAAGGAGAGATTCAACCTGGAAATAAGGAGAAACTTTCTGACAGGGAGAACAATCAACCAATGGAACAGAAGTTGCCCTCGGAAGTTGTGGGAGCGCCATCACTTGAGACTTTCAAGAAGGGATTGGACTCCCATCTGTCAGAAATGGTGTAGGGACTCCTGCTTGGGCGGGGGGTTGGACTAGATGACCTACAAGGTCCCTTCCAACTCTGATTACCTGTTATCTGTTGAACAGTTCTTCTTTCTTAGATCCCATCCAACTACAGAGGTCTCGACAATAAATCTTTTCGTTTTTTTCCCTCAAAGGTGGTGTCCAGAGGGGATATTGTGAAGTCAGGTACACATCCCTTGAAAGAAAAGCATAATAAAGGTAAAAAACTCTTTTTCCTTCTCTTTCCACTTTCCTTCCACCCATTTTCCTTTGGGAATGAATGAACCGATGAAAGAATCGGTCTCTTATTCCTTTTTTTGCCCGAAATGCTAATAAAATCTCATCTCCAAAGTATGGCCACATTAATTGGAAGAGCGCATTCCAAAGTATGTTGATGGCCGTTATGTCAATGGAAGATAAATTCACACAGGCAGGTTCTGTGAACTTTTATTAATCAATACCTCACCTGCACCAATATTACACCGAAATATATATAGAATGCATTTGAAGAGATCCTTGCTGTGTGTGTGACATGCAGACATTATCTATACAAAAGTGAAATGCCACTCACGCATCATCACAAAATCTCCAGAACCATAAAGCCTACAAACTTGAAATTTAGCATGTATGCTCCTCTTGGCTTCTAGGTGCTCACTAAGAAAGGATTTTTCCAAATGACCATCAGAGCATTAATATTTCCTATATTATTATTATTAACACGCTCTGATGCTAAGGAGTTCTATTCCCCCTCCCCACCTGAAAAGAAAACTGTTCCAAGTGCAAAACACAAGCAGAGGATGGGGGCGTGAGGAGAAGAGGGGATGGTTCCATGTGAGCGGTGGGAATTTGCACTTGTGCACACAATTCCATGAATGCCCGCCACTTACACAAGTGGAGCTGCATGCACAGCACAATCGCCCGCCACTTTGGTGCGGCCCGGTTCTGAATGGGCCACAGCCTGGGGGAGTGGGGTTTGTGGACCCCTTTCCTCAGGTCGTTGTTAGGCTTTGCTCTAGTGTTACCTCAGGGAACGGAACTCTTTCCAATGGATCGCCCCGGCCTGAATTCTTTGCGGTTTCTCGGCCTCCCTGAAAAACGTCTGTTCTTTAACCAGGAACATTCAACTTGGACCTCCTTGTGGATATCAAGATCGCTCCTCTGGCCCGCTTGGTCGTGTACACCATTTTGGATAACGGAGAACTCGTAGTGCACTCTGTCGGTTTTCCTGTGGAGCCCTGTTTCGCAAATAAGGTAGGGTGCCAACACAGGCTTCATCCTGTTGGGAGGAAGATGCCTCCCGGTGAGGATTCTTCCAGCCGGGAAACAACGCTTTGAAGAATAAATGGAATAACGAAGCAGAGCTGCTGGAAAGAGGTCTTTTAATGGCAAGAACAGTGGTGGGGCTCATCTCCAGGGGGATGAGTCTGCCTGTCGAGATGAGGTGGACTGGTTGCTTTTGTGGTGTGGAGACAATAACTTGGTCCTTAACACCAATAAGACCAAGGAGCTTATAGTGGATTATCGAAGGAACAGATCAGACATCCAGCCCTTCCTTATCAATAGAGACCGAGTGGAGCAAGTGGCCAGTTTTAAGTTTCTGGGTGTTACCCTAAAAGAGGACCTGACCTGGGGTGCCCACATTGCAGCCCTGGTCAAAAGGGCCCAGCAGAGGCTTCTCAGAAAACAATAACTCAATGAAAAACTTCTGGTGACCTTCTACCGCTGCATCATAGAGAGTATCTTAACTTACTGCACCTCTGTATGGTTTGCACAGTGGCAGATAGGAAAGCACTCCAGAGGGTTAACGTCATTGCCCAGAAGATCATTGGTTGCCCTCTCCCCTCTTTGGAAGAGTTTTATAGCTCCTGCTGCCTTAAGAAAGTTCAAAACTTTCTTAAGATCCATCTGATCCTGGACACCCTTTTTTTTTTTTTGAACTATTACCATCTGGCAGACGGTACAAGAAAATAAAAACAAGGACAAATAGGCTGAAAAGCAGCTACAAAAGAAAAACAGGACAGTAGCTCTGTTGAATTCTACGGTATAGTGCAGTGTTGGTGCGGTGTCAGGGGTTTTCATTTCAATGTGTGGAGGGTGAAGGATGTGTGTTTGGGTTCATTTTCATGCTCATGATGTGCACTGAAGATAGTGTTTGATTTCGTTGTACAAGCTAAATTAAAACTAAGAAACCAGGAGGAGTGACATTCAGCAAAGTTTCTTGGCTTTGCTGATGTCTAAGCCTCTGTGTGCTGTGTTTGGCTCCTGGATTGCCTCATAATAGTAGTCACACTGCAAACGCTCGTGACGTTTTCTGACGCTTAGGTGAACCTGCGATTTGCTGACCGCGAAGGCCTGCCCGGCAGCAGCATCGACCTCCATCTTGCCGCTGCCCAGAACTCCCTCTGTGCCATCCACGCGGTTGACGAGAGCGTCTTCCTTCTGAAGCCCGAAGCTCAACTTTCCCCTCAAACGGTGAGGCCAAATTGCCAGCCTGGTCTTGGCGGGCTGCGAATCCCTGACCCCTTTTTGAGATGAACCCCATAATAATGGAGTTGGAAGGGACCTTGGAGGTCTTCTTGTCTGCCCCCCCCCCTCCCCTGTTGAAGCAGGAGGCCTTGTACCATTCCGGATAAATAGCTGCCGGTCCAGTCGCTTCTTAAAAACCTCCACAACTTCTGGAGGCAAGCTGTTCCATGGGTTAATTGTTCTCAGGATTTCTGAGCTGAGCTGCCGACCACCCTCCATTGGAGCAGTGGGAGCGTCCCCTGAAGTTCCCCTTGGAACAATATGGCTGCTGTGCTGTAAAAGCAAAGGAGCCGCCACAGAGAGTCCACGGGCATTTTTGGGCAACAAAGGGAAGGCAGTGTCGGCTTTCCGATCATTTGCAGCCAATATGCTGTCTGGGGAAAAAAGGGGGGAAAATGAGTCAAGTTGATTGGCTTAGGGATCTGTAGGGTCCATGGTTCTGGAAGGTTCATCAGAAGTGGAAGGGAAGGAAGGAAGGAATAAGAGGGAGGGAGGAGGGAGGAAGGAAGGAAAAGAAGGAAGGGAGAAGAAAGGGAGGGAGGGAGGGAGGGAAGGAAGGAGAGAGAGGGAGGAAGGAAGGAGAGAGGGAGGGAAAGAAGGAAGGAAGAGAAGGAAGGGAGGAAGGAAAGAGGGAGGGAGGAAGGAAGGATAGGGAGGGAGGGAGGGAAAGAAGGTAGGGAAAGAAGGTAGGGAAAGAAGGAAGGAGAGAGGAGGGAGGGAAGGAAGGAAGGAAGAAGAGGGAGGGAGGGAGGAAGGAAGGAAAGAAGGAAGGGGAGGGAGGAAGGAAGGAATTAGTTTCAGCAATGAATTTTGGGAAGGAATGAAGGAAAGAAGGAAGGAAAAGAAGGAAGGAAGGGGAGAGAGAGGGAGGGGAGAAAGGGAAGGTAGGAAGGAAGGAGGGAAGGAAGGAAGGAAGGAAGGATAGGAAGGAAAGAAAGGAAGGAAGGAAGGAAGGAAGGATAGGAAGGAAGGAAAGGAAGGTAGAGAAAGAAGGAAGGAAGGGGAGATGAAGGGAAGGAAGGAAGGAGGGAGGGAGGGAGGAAGGAAGGAAGGAAGTAATTAGTTTCAATGAGTTTTGGGAAGGAAGGAAGGAAAAGAAGGTGGGAAAAGAAGGAAGGAATGGGAGAGAGAGGGAGGGGAGGGAAAGAAGAAAGGAAGGATAGGAAGGAAGGAAGGATCTCGTGATTCCAATTTGGGTGCTTGGCAACTGGCTTCAGTTTACAACATCACAGCGTCCCCCCAGTTGTGCAAATCCCCATTGGAGACCTTCAAAGTCAAGGGGGAAGTGGGTCGCAAGTCGAGGACTACCTGCACTGAACTGGGGGTTTCCATTCTTTTCAGGTTTATAATCTGCTGCCTTTGAAAGACCTCAGGGGCTACTACTACAACGGTGAGAACTTGGAAGACCCAGGCGCAAACCCCTGCATGCCTCCCAAAAAGATCATTGTGGATGGAATTCGCTACCAGACCGACACCTATTCTTACGAGGAAGGCGATGCCTATACAATTCTCAAGGTAAGCCCCCCCCCCCCCAAAAAAAAACAAAAAAAAAAAAAACGCTTGCCAGAATTTCACTAGTTAGAGAAGTCAATCATTTTAGGCTGAACCATTCCATCCCCGAGAGCAATGAGGCGGTGTTTTTTCTTCTTCTTTAAATTGTCCTTCATCAACAAAAAGGTGAAAATGATTGAAAATAAGGGGTTATTTTTAAGGACAAAAATTCCCCGATCGAACATTCTGAGGTAATTCCCACCCCTCCTCTCTGAGGCGGCATGTCGCTGAACTTGTGGGGGCGGTGAGCGATGAGCACGAGGGGAGATTCCACCAGGACATCGCAAGCATGGAGAAAAGATATCAAGGGAAATGGAGTCCGTCCATGCTTGCCGATTACTGCTGGAATCTCCTCAGGGATGATGCCAACTGCAGCTCACAAGAGAAAAGCCAAAAAGTTCAGTTTAGATATGCCGAATTAAGATGGAACTTTGTCGTTTAATTTGATGTTAGAGCTTTGTACAATAGAGTAGAGTAGAGTAGAGTAGAGTAGAGTAGAGTAGAGTAGAGTAGAGTAGAGTAGAGTAGAATAGAATAGAATAGAATAGAATAGAATAGAATAGAATAGAATAATAGAATAGAATAGAATAGAATAGAATAGAATAGAATAGAATAGAATAGAATAGAATAGAACAGAAAATAAGAATAGAAAATAAGATAGCATAGCATAGCATAGCATAGGAATAGAATAAAAAGAGTTGGAAGGGACCTTGGAGGTCTTCTAGTCCAACCCCCTGTCTAGAGGCAGGAAACCCTACACCACTTCCGACAAATGGTTATCCAACATCTTTTTTAAAACCTCCAGTGTTGGAGCATTCACAACTTCTGGAGAAAAGTTGTCCCACTGATTAATTGTTCTGTCAGGAAATTTCTCCTTAGTTCTAAGTTGCTTCTCTCCTTGCCAGTTTTTCATGCAAAAAGCATGAAAAACCAATAAATGAATGGAAAGTTATATTGATAGGATAGGACAGGACAGGACAGGACAGGACAGGACAGGACAGGACAGGACAGGATAGAATTCTTTATTGGCCAAGTATGATTGGACACACAAGGAATTTGTCTTCGGCGCATAAGCTCTCATTGTACATAAAAGCTATAAGTGGTAAATCATGATCATAGTAATCATAAAATACATTCTTCATAAATCATAAGATACAACACTTAGTGATAGAAATAGAATCAACATAAATTGTTCTAGGAAATTAATATAAATCGTAAAGATACAAGCGAAGAAGTTACAGTCATAAGTAGAAAAGGAGATAAGTATAGGAAAGATGAGAAGAATAATAGTGATACAATCTTAGTAAATACAGTAGTTTGACAGTGTTGTGGGAATTGTTTAGCAGAGTGATGGCATGGGGGGAAAACTCCTTGTGTCTAATGGTATCAATAGAAAGATAAATTTATAATGATTGGTGTGGTACCATTCTCACTGCTGTATCACATTTTGCAGAAAATTTATGGAGTATAATCATACACCACCCTCTCATAATTTTGAATTATTTTGATGCAATTTTAACCCAAAACTGTATCTTGGAAACTGGAGCCAATTCATATTTAGGACTTAATTTTCCTTTATTAGTGACCCAACTCTGGTAAAATTAAGCTACAGTTCTTTGGGTGGGTTTTGCAAATCTGTTTCCGTAGAAAACATTGGCAGATTTCCTTTGTATCTGTCGTTGTATTTTTTTCCCCCCTCTGACGACGGAGATCAACCTCATGCTGAGTCCCAGTCTTGGTGTCATACTTTTCATAACATATTGTAGGTTGAGCTGCCATGAGGGCCTACTGGTAAAGATGCTTGCCTCTCACTTGGAAGGTTGAGAGTTCAAACCTAGGTAGCGGCAGATACGTCTCTCCCAGGGCGCAAAGAAAAAAAATATCTGCTGTGAATTCAGCATGGTGTCAGGAAGGGTATCCGGCCAGTCAATGCTCAGCTCCATCCAGTCGCCCCGATTCTACCCCGAATAAAGGGGTTATAGGGTCATGAAAAAGGGGAGTGTTGTTGTGTTTTTGACACATCCCCAAAATAAAAAGGGTGCATTGTCACATCTATCTTTATTTTCTAACCAGTTTAATACAGCACTCTAGGTGGATTATAGATGGATAATAGATGGACAGATTGATGGATCGAGGGGGAGAAAAAGAGAGAGATGGGGGTTGTGGGGGTGGGTGTGTTTCTTTTCCACACTTTCTGTAATATTTCATAGTGAATTTCTGCTCATTTTACAGGACATTGGCTTCATACCGTTTACTAGCACCCAGATATACAAGCCTAATATTTGCCGCACCATGGAATACTGTAAGAATCTGAAGTGAACTGATAAGGGTGGAAGGGGGAAGCTCCTCTACTTATTGATCGATTGCATTTGAAGGTCAAAAAAGTCAAGATGGTGGCTGCAACTGCCCCATTAAAGCCCTGTCTCTTCTTTATGTCCATAAGATGAGGCGGGAAAGGAAAAGTCTTGACACCTTGGATGAGGCTCCTGAGGGCAGAGTGGACAGCTAAAAAGACAAACCAATGAGTCATTGAACACAGCAACTCCCAAGTTCTCACTTGGGCACAAAGGATCAGGCTCAAACTATCATATTATGTAAAAACCTGGCTTTCTTGAGAAGACTCCCATGACAGGAAAGATGGTGGAAGGAACGAGAAGAACGGGACAACAAGTAGCAAGGGAAATGGACTCCGTTACAGGGGTTGATGGAGGGGCTGTTAGTAAAGATGGAGGACCCAGTTAGGGACCAATTATCATGCAGAATATCTATGTCAGGGGTGCCCAGCCCATGGATCAGCACCGGTTTGTGGCATGCCAGCAACCAGGCCACGCAATCCACGGGATGCAGGCAGCAGGCAAAACAATGCCTCCTCCGGTCTGTCAGGAAAACCTTTCTCCATGGAACCGGTCCCTGCCCGCTCAACTTGGTAGTGAGTAAGAATCAACAAAGCATGATGACTCAGCGGCTTTACAACACTGGAGACGGTCTATGCTCCAGTGGTTTGAGTCCTAGCACCGTGTGATGGTGTGAGCTCCTGTCACTCGCCTCAGCTTCTGTCCACCTAACAATTCGAAAGCATCTTCTATGCGAGCAGATAATTAGGTAGCATTTTGGTGGAGAGACGAGTTGGTGCTCCGTGTGGGCAGTCAGATTCCTGCTGGTTCTGAACCTACCCAGTTGCAGCACCCGTTTGCAAGGCAGCTCCGAGGAAGTGAGGGGAGACCTTGGGTGATGCTGTAGGAAGAGCCACTCATGGGTTTTTTTTGGGGGGCGGGTATGAAATGAGCTCACCTTCCTGTGACACATCTTGGGAAGTGTGCAAGTGTGTCCTATAACAGAGGTGGCAAATTGGCAAGCCAAAGTACAACTCTGCAATAAAATTGTGATCTCCTGGCTAATGTAAAAATGAGGATAAGGGTGAGGATATGGATGATAAGAATAAGAATCAAATTGTTGAGATATAACCACCAATCAAAGACTATTCGTCTTGGCTGGTTGCTTAGTTGCAGCTACCCTCTTGACTTTTGTTGGAGAAAGTGTCCCTCACACTTTCTTTCCTGCACTTCCTTCTCTTCGTTTAACACTCTTGAGTGCTTGTGGCTCTCAGAGACATGGTAATGATTATCTTTTATATGTTCGTGAGGGTGATGGGTGTTGCTTTGGAGAATTCATCTTGGAAGGACAGCTTGGAGATGCTAAAATACAAAATGCACGCTTTTTCTCTTGGCAGACTCAATGGCAGGAGGCCACAGCTTGCAACGTTTGTCCTCACCAGCAGTTGCGGAATACAAAATGGAGGACGCAATCGCAAATGTCATGGAAACAACCATCCGGAGCTACTTCCCAGAAACCTGGATATGGTCCTTAAAACCACTTGGGTAATCCAAGGATTCTACGTTTGGTGGAACGGGTAGCTCTTCAGGGAGAAATTTTTAAGACCTTATAGTCAGGGTTCAAAACTTTTTA